CTATACGATAAAATCTCCCTCTTGTAGAAATTATTAAGTAACGCCTACACGCTGGGACCCCATTTTAATTAACCAATTAGAATACAAAGCCTCAGCTTCTAGGATCACGGTAGAGATCACTGGGCTACCCCCTTCGCACTATAAAAAGCCATTTTTCCCCATCTAAACCAGTTCTTTTGACGATTTTAAAATACACAAAATCTACGACACTACTCAAGATTTCACTCTCCGGGACTTAGTCGATTTTTTAATTAATTTGGACTTAGAATATTTTTCTTTAAAACTAAATGACACTTAGAAATTTTAAAGTGAATTTTGTTTTGGTGAATCTTTTAATTTAATTTAATTTGTTCAATCATTAATAATATTTTATTTTTCTTGTTATGAAAATAAACATCAAATAATATTTTAAACATTATATTTTTTTTAAATTATTTTATTTTAATAATAAATCCAACCTAAATTTAGATATTCATTTAATAATAAAAATTTATTGTGAGCTTTTCTTATTGGGTAGCTAGTCTCGTTGCTAATGTCTTTGTTTTAACAAACATCGCGCCGGCAGACAAAGCTAAAGGTCACAATCTTCTCAATTTAAATTGAGATTTAAATTTATTTGACTAAGTGTATTGCAACTCTATACTTATTGGGTAGCTAGTCTCGTTGCTAATGTCTTTGTTTTAACAAACATCGCGCCGGCAGACAGAGTAAAGGTTGCAACTAGACATTGTTCTAGAATTAGGTATATTAGGTTAGAATATATTTGTAAGCCTATGCGTATTGGGTAGCTAGTCTCGTTGCTAATGTCTTTGTTTTAATAAACATCGCGCCGGCAGACAACGTAGAGAAACTTACGAATATATTTGCAGTGTTTAATTTTTGTCTTGGTTATTATTGTGCCGCATCCTTTCAAGGTGCTTTATTTTAGCACCGGGACACATTGGGCCACCACAATTCTGCCTTGATAAATTTTTTACATAGATATAGATATTTCTGAATCTTGTTTTGGCCAGGCCAGAGGAAAATTTAAGAAATATTGGTATCGATCTCTCAATAAAAAAATTATACTCTCTAAAAAAAAATACTTATTCAATAAACGTAAAAAAATCAATAAGTTAAAAAAAAATCAGAATTGTTTTTATAATAAAATACAGAGTGTTTAAAATCTTTTACAAGTAAGATCAGTCTTAGACTTTGTGTAATTAAATCATATTATTTAAAGTCTTGAGTCGTTTTTTTGTAAGCAATTATATAGACTATATTACATATAGTGTAAATCCTATACGTAGTGCGTTTATTNCATATAGTGTAAATCGTATACGTAGTGCGTTTAATACGGAAATCAACACTGGATTACTTAAAATATTATTGTATCACACAGGACGTAAGGTAAGTACAATTTAACCTATGCTTTCGAACTTCCAACAATCTATTGCGTGATAAACCATTAATAATTAATGAGAGAAACAATTAATGAGAAAATTAATTTAAATAAAATTGAAGACAATTAAATCTACATTAAAATTACAAAAACTTATAATAAATAATTGATTATAATAATCTACTAAGCAACCCCTAATTTTCTTTTATATTCACTCTCTAATTTTTCTACTTTTTCTTTTCTTTCTTTTTATTTTTGGTTTATTACAAGTACCGAAGGTAATCTCTTTCCGCGTGGTACGTTTGTGACATTAAGTTTTCATTTTGTGTATTATTAATTTATCCTGTTTTAAGTGTATCATTATTTTATATGTTTTACTTTGTTTGATTATATCTTTATTAATAACATTTGCGTTAGTATTGAACTATTATAACTATAAGTTAGAACAAAAAGATAGTTTCATATTTAAATACAACAACCCAAATTTAACGTACAATTCAATACATATACAGCTGTATTTGCCGTTGAGCCCAAAGAATTTTTGACAGAATTTTACTATATAATATAGTTGTAGCTGCTTCGACTATTGTACACATTGTTCGTTCCGCTTTACCGATTTGCTGTAGTACACTGGTTTTATGTTTTATACCAAATTTATTCAAAATAACTTTGACTTCATCATTCTCATATTCCAAACCACAATCACTTCATAAAGTAAGAATTGATATATTTAACTGATTTTTTACTATATTTAAGAATAATTCAAAATTGTCTTTTACTTCTGATTTTTGAATATAACAAAAATCTTTTACCACCAAGAAAATTTTCTTTCATGAGTATACAACAAAACACTGAATTATCTGACCAGGTTTTATTGTTTTTGTACTGCACAGTGTAAATGGTTTTCTGTGTTGTTTACTATAAACGCAAGCTTCATAGAAAAATTTGTTTTCTATTACCATGAATTGAATACCCATATGCCTTTTCGATTTTATTCTTTCCATTTTGTTCTTTCTTCAAAGTCCAGCTATCACGTTTCCAATAACTTGGTTTATTACAAAAATTGTAAATTCCTGGTTTTATATCATTATTTTGTTGATTTTCAGAATAATTATCAAACATTGAATATTTTTGTTTTTTCGTTCTGAACGATTTTTTCGCCGCAAATACACTATTTTAGCCATTATTTTTCTAAATTTCATGGCCATTATTTTGTCTTGTTTCCTCTACCATAAGTCGGAATGTCAAATTTAATAATGTTTTGTTCTCAGATGGTAAGAATCATATGCACTACACAAATATTTATAATATTCTTGTAAGGTTATAAGAACTTTAGTTATCAGCATTAAATCGTATAATTGTTTTAATTGTTTATTCAAGTTTTCTAATTTTGATATATCTTGTGCCATATTATTATTTCTATCCATTACATAACTATAAAATTTTTGTTGAATCAATGTAATTGATGTATTAGACTTTTGTTCATATACACTCAGTAATTTATTTGACATACCTTTCGCTGTGTCACAATTCTAATCTAATGACTGTTCATTTACTGACATAACTATATAACGTTGATCGTTAGCATCCGTCATCAACCATTTTTGCTGCACTTGTTCTAAACGCAATTGTGCCTCTGTGTCTGGTTCTGTATCATGTTTTATTATTTGAATTGGATATTCATAACTTCCATCTATTATAGAAAACAACACATCATATGGTTTTAATATTACCATCATTTGAAATTTCCAATTTGCATTGCCGTTTAGTTTGTTAATTTTTACATGTACAACGGCAACGGGTCACTTTACTCGTTAGACGGCATAACTACAACTAAATTGTTAACATGTATACAATAAGTATATGCATAATATGCATTGAGTAAAACAACATAATCGAGAAAAGAATATGTTCCTTTTGACCTTGAACTATACTAACATAAGTAAAAATACATTAAATTGTTATCTTAAATAATATAACTGTATCCAGTGTGTTGTTTAATAATATCAACAGTAATTTTATTATCATGATGTTGTAAACATAGATGAAATAAATGTAATTCATTTTTTTGTGATTTATATGCCACTTCTTATGCTAGTTGAATGATCATAAGATAAAGAAGGAATTAGAAACAATTTTTTGCCCCATTACACACAATGTTTAAATAAAAGGAAACAGATCAAATGTTACAAACAACAAAAACAGTAGAAACTCTTTATTTTACTTACTGAACATTTTATAATATTTATAATATATATAATATTTTCACAACCTTTTACTACCATTAGTTTATTATTAGATGGTTGTAGTTATAACAAATTACTTTTTACTTTAAATTTCTGCATTGTTTCAAATAGAAAATGATTATATATCAACTTGATGACTAATATACAATAATTTATAGACTACTCAATAATAAGTGGTACATGTATTATAACAACTAGTTCAACTATATATGCATGATTTAGAATGTATTGCCTTACTAACAAATACAAAACTATTAATAATAATTAAAAGAGAAATCGAGTAACTAACGTTAAAAGAATCCCTTTGTAATCTATAAGTTAAAAAGAAATCTTGATCAATGGTATCTCTTCTAGACCTTGCTATATAAACCGTATATATAAGGGACCAGTCATTAAACTTTATATATTTTTAGTTTTAACGTAACTATTACCAAGACCGTGTCCTTGAATTCTTTTAAAGACCAGGACTGGACCGATGAACTTTTTAAGGGACCGTAAAAAAAGGACCGATAATTTTTAACTACAAACCAACTAGAGCCGGACCAATTTATTATTTGAAGTATAAGACCGAACCGGATCGAACCGTGGTTAGTATGGTTCAGTCCGGACCGGTTCAAACTGAACCATGCAGAGCTCTAAAATAGTCAAACTTCTATAACAATTGTAAGATAAATAACAAACACCTATGTTGGAGCAGAACCATTAGTTGGACTCGCTGAGCAATCGCTTAAAACGCTACCCAAGAATTGGTGCAGAGGACAACACAGAAAAATCTATAAATACTTGGTAGTATCTAGACAATTTAAAATGTTTATAAAGACCCCCAGTCTACTGCTGGGTGATCTTAATAGCATGACTAGACATCAAATAAGCCCTTTGACTGGTCTACTGATAGGTGAGGTACGCACATTGGACCAACAGGTCTGAGTGCATGGGCATTAAGTCCACCTCGATAATAACTAAAACTAACTAAAAGATAAATAACCAATCACAAAAACTACTGAGCAACGGTGTAGATAAGCGTTCGATATGCGATAAGATGTCCGTACTTGTCGGCAAATAGAACGCAACTGAATAACAATAATTAAAAGAGAAATCGTGTGACCAACGTTGAAAGAATCATTCTGTAAACTACAAATTAAAAAGAAATTTGTGCCTATAATTTTTCTTCTATGAAAGAAAAATTATATATTAAATAGGAGGGAGCAGTCATTAATATTTATATATTTTTAGTTTCAATGTAACTATTATATCAATAATTAAACAGGTGTTTTATAAAACTATAATAAAGAAAAGTACATACATAATTTCAAATAATTTTATTATAAATATGATCAATACGTTAAACAAATTTATTCTGTCATTTTAGTAATTTAAAAAAAATCAAAAACATTAATTCCATATTAATATTGAAAATGAATATTAAATTGTTAAACTTGATACTTTTTTCAATAAGCATTTTTCTTAAAGTAGGACTTATTAATAGTAAAATAGATCAAGATGTGTATGCAACATATTTAAGTCATGTAACGAAAAACATATGTAATAAATTATCACATATTAACCTGGAACACTTGTCAGTAAGAACTATAGATTTTGATATTAAAAGCATACAGGAAGCTTTAAAAAATAAAAGTAAATATTTTTCCAAATTGTTAATAACATACTATTATATAGTTGAATTAATCAACTATTTATTTATTGAAGTACTACAAATATTTACTGAACACGTGAAAATCATTATAGATGTTTGTGAAAGGTATTATAAAAATAATTTGTTTGAAAATGCAACTAATTGCACAATAGTACTTTTAAATACAACTAAAAATACAAATGTAATGTTTAAATATTTATACAGAGCTATACAATTTATTGAATACTTAGATGTAAATTTTGTTAAAACGAGAAAATCAATGAAACGCCCAAAAACGGTTATAGATGAAATTTATATCGTTCAAAATTATACGTCATCAATGAAAACGTCAGAAATGCTGAATTATGTAAATAATGACAAAAGTATTAACATTTTAGTAGCTATAGAAGACTACACAGATATAAATAATTTTATTAATAAAGTAATTGAAATAACCGATAATTTTTTTAAAAACAATAATACTATTATAAATAGTATGATGAGAGTTAATCTCCAAAAAAATTATTATGATGAATGCATAATTAATAATTATGAAAATAATTTTGTTGATTTTGTTAGTGAAAAGTTAAATAATTACTGCTTAAATATCATTAATAACTATTATTTTAATATTGGATTCAATCAGTTACTTAACCCTTACACAGCCGAGTAAGTTATATTTTTTAATAAAAATATAGTTGTCTCCTAAAAAATTATATTTTAATAAACTAATATTTTTAAGTAATTTAATATTAGCATAGATTAAACGAAATATTAATTAATAAGTTATATTGTTTAGTTTTAAATTTTACTTTTGTATAGTCAAATAGTAACACAGTGCGGTCACGACATAGTGTGGACGTGGCATAGTTGTGACAAGTATAGATGATATCTGACAGTGATTAAAATCACTATCATTAAAAACACTTCGATGCAAATCTGTAGATAGTGTTTTATTTTAAAAAGTTGATGGATTATACAAAAGCAAAATGAATTCCTATTTCCTTTATTATTCTTGATTAGTAGTTTTTTTATTTAAAAGTGTAATATATGAATAAATATATTCATAAAATATAGATTGAGATTTATATTTAATAATAATTTAGAATTGTAATTTTTTCAGAGAATTTATAAAAAATTATAAAGTAGTTCTTACGTTTATGGCAAACATGTATAAAAATTGATGGGCTTGACAATAACTTTTTAGATAATAATTTGTTGTTAATTATAAATAAATGGACGACAAACATATTCATCAGAGTCAAAAATATATTTATAATTATAAATATTATTCAATTTTTCGTGCTAATTTCAAATCAGAAATTATATATTTTCCATCACCTATAATTTTTTATATTATTACTTATTAGGTTTAAACTATAGGATATAACTGTAAGGAAAACAGTTCTGAATATTTCAATTGTGTCACATATTTTAACACCAAAAGTTATATAGGATTATTAATATTTCTTTTGAAATGATTTATTACCATAAAAAATTGACTTTAGTCAATTCAGATTATCATAAAATATATAACAAATGAAAAGAAAATACGTACGGTGTTTATTTAAAAAAAATTATTTTGGTTGGTTAATTTTTCAAAAATTTGTGACAATTTTTAAGGGTAATATCTTCGACTAGATATGATTTTCGATCTTTTAACTTATCCTTGAAAGAAATCGGTTCGATGAGAAAAAGTGGTAACAGACAAAAAAAAAAATCATAGTAAAACCAATACCTTCTTAGCATCGTATCGAAGCTAAAATACGGTTTTTGTAATAAATTACAATATTAAATTGTTAAATATCAATTTCATGCTATAATTAATTGCTATAATATATATTTTTACATATATTACACTTCGAAATCATAATTCTAGTAATCAAGAAATAAATGAGATATTAAGAAATCTTGTTGCTTTTGGAATAATCCACCAATTTTTTTAAAATTAAACATTATCTACAGATTTGCTTCGAAGCGTTTTTAATAATAGTGATTTTAATCACTGTCAGATATCATCTATACTGGACTCAACTATGCCACTAGTTATTATATTACTAATATCGAAGTTATTTAATACTTCCTCAGCTATTTACTACAATTTTCTAGTCTCACATTGTATTTTTCTATAGGAAAAATAGATTTTTATGTTTGAATCTTAAATTTAGAATAATTATAATGTCATTATTAAAATAATAACCTTTCGGTAATGTTTTTAAGTGTATATATAATAATTATTTTGTTTTATTTTAGGCTGAAACCTCCTCAACACACCGACTTTCCTCAAGAGAGTGCAATTCAAATACTAAATACTTTGTTCCGTGAAGGAAATTGGGAATTATTGAATCATATAAGCATAATAAGTTATGATGAAATAATCACTACTGAGCGAATTATTAGAGATCCTGTAGATGAATTTAATTTTAATCTAAAAAAAAAATATTTTACACAGCTGATCAGATGTAGATATACTGAAGTATTAAAGAATTATAACACCTATATATCTGCTATAATACAAATATGCAGAAATGAATTAAATGATAGGAATTTAGATGGTGTTATAGATTATATTATTCAATTTTTTGATGCGGTTAAAGATTCAAAAGAAATGTTTACATATATGTTGTTAGCTTTAGATAAATTAAAAGCTACATCAATCTGGGAAGTGATGTATAATTCACATGCATGCTTGTCACAAACCTATGATTTATTAAGTAATTTATTTCCGAAAATTGAACAGCTTAATTTAACGCAATCTGATTTTTTGAATCTGTCAACCGATGATATGATATTAATAGCTAATAACTTTTTATTCAATTTTCAAAGAGCACGAAAACAGTTTGACTTAAAATTTACCGAAGGGAATATTCATTTCGGACAACGTTGCCTGTTTAAAGAAGATTTTTTAAGTAAAAATGAATTATTAAAATCATGGCAAGATATAGTTTTGTTCTATATAACTTATAAAATCACCGATAGTCGAAAAGTTTTATATGAATACTCTTTAAATGAATTTATAAATTTTTATAAAAATGCTATTACAAGTGAATATTCATGTTTAGGGTTCAATAAAATAAATATTAGTAATTAATGAAAGTCTTGTATTTTTATTTTAAATAAATTAATATGGTAAAACTTTTACTATTTCTGTAATTGATCAGTTACAATGTTTCTGAAGTAATTATATTATTATACTCTTAAAATTAATGAAGAAAATTAATTTAGTAAACTTAATTGATCATGAATCATTCTAAAAATTGTATTAGTATGCTTTTACTGAAACAAAACTTTTTTATAAATTATTTATTAATTTTATTTTTTTAATAATTTTTAAATTATACCTTTATATACTTCTATAAATCTTATAATATATTACATACATTTTCATTCAATTATATTTCCAATAAATTTTTATCTTTATATGTTAAGAATTATCTCACACGAGTAGATCCGTGTGGGATGGGTCACCTATAGGCTGAGGATCCTTGGAGACAAGGGTCCGAGGTGCTACAGGTGCCTGGAGCACGGGCACGTGGCCCAGGCCTGCAAGGGCCCGGACAAGTCCAAGGGGTGCTTCTCCAGTAAAATGGAGGGGCACCAGGCCAAGGATTGTCCGGGTGTAGGGCCAGTCTTAAAGGCCCCGAAGAAAAAGGGGGTGCCTGGCAAAAAAGCCCCTCTTGGGAAGAAGACGGGGGGAATGGCCACTGTCGGGCTACCCAGTACCTGGTCCGGCGGGCGGCGTATGAGATGGGCACCGACATGTGCATCGTCTCGGACCCGCACGCCGGATCGGTCCGGGACTCTGCCGGCTGGTTCTTGGACGGGTCCGGTAGAGCGGCGATCGGCTTGATGGACCGCAGCCTAACGGTCGCGGACATCGAGTCGGAAAACGGGTATGTAGTAACGAGGATAGACGGCATCGACGTCTTGAGCTGCTACGCGCCGCCCAGTTTGCCGATCGCCGGACTCCTTGAGCCTCTGTCCTCATGCCTGCGGGCGAGGAGGCTCAAGTGGCCGCGGGGAGATCGTGGCCGGGGATTTCAACGCCCACTCCCAGGTCTGGGGGTCGGCGGACACGAATCAGCGTGGCGAAGACCTGTTGGGCCTAATGTCGGCCCTCGGGCTGGTCTCGGCCAACAGGGGCTCCACCCGGACGTTCGAGGGTCACTCCTCCAGCTCGGTGGTAGACGTTACTCTGGTGTCCCCGTCGCTGCACTCGGACGTGACCGGTTGGTCAGTTCTCCCGTACATGGAAAACCTCAGCGACCACCGGTACATCGTATTTGAGTGCGGCGATGGCGGCCGTCCCCCCGAGTTGTGCCCCGCGGACCTTCTCACGGTGGGCGAGTGGGTTGGCGGGTCGGACAGACCACGGACGTCGACGCATTCGAGACGGGCTTACTGCTCTCTTAATGGTCGGCGCCCGCGGTACCGGATCGACACGTCTTTGCGAGCGAAGCGGCGGAAAAGTTGGACCGGTGGGTGGTCGCAGCCTGCGACTTCGCCCTCCCAGCAAAACGACCACCGTCGACTCGCGGACCGCCAGTCCACTGGTGGAATGAGGAGGTGGCGGACAGACGTGAGGAGTGCGTCAGGGTCAGGAGGGCCAGTCGTGAAGTCGGTGGACTATGACCCGTGGGGGAAACCCTATCGGGTCGTAATGCGAAAGCTCCGCGGTTCACCGGCTTCCGGTCAGCTGGAGGCGGACTTGCTGGAAAGGGCGGTTGACACGATCTTTCTGACTCATCTGCCTCTGCCTCCCCCGGCGTTCGGGGACGACGTGTCGGTGGAGGAATTCACTACCCTGGAGGTGGCCGACGCGGAGGCGCGCGTACGGGACCGGAACACAGCTACCAGCCCTGACGCGATTCCAAACCGGGTGTGGAGGTTGGTAAATGACCTCACCCCGGACTGGATACGCGCCGTCGTGAACCACTGCCTCTTGGAGGGTGAATTCCCTACGAGGTGGAAGAAGGCCAGGTTGGTGCTTCTGAGAAAGGGTGACAAGCCCGAAGGTTTAACTCCGTGCGATAGTCACACATCCTCGGAGCGCTGGACGTGTTTCGGGTGCCTCCTTACCTCGGGAGGATGATCCGGTCGTACTTTAGCGATCGGGTCATCTCCTACGAGAGCGTCGCGGGCCCGAGAATCAGACCTGTTACGGGTGGCATCCCGCAAGGGTTAGTTCTCGTCCTCTGCTGTGGAACATCGCATACAACACGGTGTTCCGCGTTCCACTACCACCGCACGTGCGCGTCGTCTGCTACGCGGACGACACGCTGGTGGTGACGGAAGGCGCCTCGTCCGAGGAGGCTGGATCTCGTGCGAACTGCGCGCTCAGCGCAGTCTCCGCCTGGATCCAGCAGGAGGGGAGTGGTCTGAGCCTTTTTTTTTTTTTTTCTCCTCTTCTTCTCGACTTGATGTGGACCGCCTTGGAACTGCCGTGAGGCATTGCTCCAGGGCGGACCACGTCGCCTAGCATCTTCTTACCGCCGCGCTGAGATACGGCCCAAGTTTGCACCTAAGCCAAATCCCAGCACGGCGTAGCCTCCCCCGTTAGCCGGACCCCACTAGAGGGTCTGTTTCCCGGGTTGGACCACGTGGAGGTGGGGTTAGGCAGTCTTCTCCATTGTTGGCTGGATTAAGAACCCGACCTTCTTTTTTTCTTCTACCAGGGCAGTCTTTGAAGACGTGCCCTTTTTTCTTACACCCGAAGCAGGCTTTCGACCAGTCCGATCCTTGACACGCATGGACGATATCCCTGTAAGGGCGCTTTTTGTTCCTCTTCTTTTTTTTTCCGTCATGTTGATTTTCTTCGGCTTGAAGGCCGGTGGATCCTTGACGCCGGTTTTGGTCCCAGCTTCTTTCTCTGATATCTGAGGCGCTACTTCCAGCGCCCTTGGCTGGGCTACTGCCTCCACTGGGGCTTCCAGGGGTTTCCTGGACGGTGGAGACGCTCTTTTGCGTTTCTCCTCATCCAGGATCTCCTCCAAGCGCTTTGTCGCGGTTTGCACCTCCTTGTGCATCCTCATTCCACGACGCTTGTCTATGACGCCTCGAAGCACGGCGACTTGCACGCCTATGCTTTCCATCATAGTCGACGTCACCTCCTCCCCCGGGTCGTGACGCCTCTTGCGGCATGGTCGCACCGAGCTCCTCAGCTTTTTGGAAACGTATCTAGGGAGGTGGCCGTCGTCAATATCGTACCAAAATCCAGACATTTCGTTGTCAATGACCTCCCGACTATTTTACCGGTGGGAGTGGTTTGGTCACCACCACTCCATGCAGTCGCAGTACCAACCCCGTGGTTGGCTGCAGGAGCTTGCCTCAACACTCCTGCATTTGGTGCGTATTCAATTGATGACGACACCTGGTGGGTACGCCCCCCATCAACCACCGTCATGGGGCATCCAAATTCCCTGATGCAGTAACATTTACTCCTTTCGATTCCATTTTCATAAATGTGATATGCCCTCATAGCCAGTCCCTCCGGCCAGTGAGCGGCTAACTTCACTGGTTGTATTGCCGTTTAACACCATTCGCACCCAAACGCTACCGCTTATTCATCCATAAAGGCTTATTTCACGGCTACCCTATATATCTACAGGGTTAACAAGCGTTTGGGCGGCTCGCTGTCCGCGACCGCTTATTCGTCAATCCAAATTAATGGACTGCTTATTTCGCGGCTAACCTGCATATCTGCAGGCCGTTCCTCTATCCGCAACCTGAGGACGCGCCCGATTCCCCAAGCTAGGGAAACTGCGCACGTGCCGACGTTTCGTAGCCCCGTAAAGTTCAATCACACCGACACTGTAGCGCGCGTCTACGGGGAGTGGTCTGAGCCTCGTCCTGGATAAGACCGAAGCGGTATTATCTCGTCTCACCCGAATGATGTCCGGCCGAGGCTGCTTTAACGAGTACTTACACCGTATGCGTAAAGCAGCTGCGCCGACGTGCGACCATTGTTCGAATCGCCCGGGAGAGGCTGATAGCACTCTGCATACCCTCTTCCGGTACTAGGCGTGGGCCCAAGATGGGACTCTTTGGAGTCTCGATTAGGGTCCACGTTCCGATCCACGTTCTTCTATCCGTAACTTGAGGACGCGCCCGATTCCCCGAGCTAGGGAAACTGCGCTCGTGCCGACGTTTCGTAGCCCTGTAGAGCCCGATCACACCGACACTGTAGCGCAGCGGAATGAGTGGCGATTGATACCACCGGCGAACAAACCATTCACATGCTTTTCGTTTGAACCAAAAACCAATTAAAAAAAAAACCCAACCGTGCAAACAAATTTCTAATTATAACTATTTATTTCAATTTACTCAAGCAAGCTTCAAGTAAGCTTACAATTTTTTTTTATGCAGTTTGGCTGATAATTTTGTATATTATAAGAAGAAAAAAAATGTTCACTTATATTAAAAACGTATACCTTTTATTATAAATAAAGCGTAAAATGAAATATATGAAATTTTTGAAAATATTAATAAATAAAGGTTATCATTAAATATTTTTCAAATATCTTATTTTTATTAAACATTTCATTTATTTTGAATATAATAAATAATATAAGAATACATAATTTTACATAAACATAATTTTATGTTATAATAAAATTATACAGAATAAATTTAATTAAAAATTACGAAAAAATCAGCAAACCTATGTAGAGTCACAGGGTTACTAAATTTTAATAGTAATATTTTTTAATTTTTTTAGTTTTATTTAAATTATTTCTAACCATAATTTTATTTCTCATGGTCATTATAATATTAGGTATAATATTGCTATAACATTTTATTTTTTACGAAAAGATTAGTGAACTCTTTTTCTATTTATAATATAAATAAATATAAGCCAAACAACATAAAAAACAATTTTAACAACTTAAAACCTACTAGAAATATACCATATAATTATGGTCATTGTGATATCTACGCTATTAATTTTTGACTTAAAATTTTGAAACTAAAAATTTGTGTTCTACAGTAAAACTAATCAATTTTGATATACTAATCATAATGTTTAACCAAAAATTGAGTAACAGAGGCCGATTTTTAGGATATTTTCGATCAAAATACTAAAACCACGTTTAGCCACCAGTAAATTTTTTTTAAGAATCTCA